TTTAAAAATATATATTTATACAAATTTTATATATAATTTATATATTTGAACATAATATTTATTTATATTGATTTATTATAAATATAAATTTTATTAAATAAAGTTAATTATAATTTTTCTATTTTAAAATAAAAATATTTAGTCAATTTATTTTTAAAAATATAAAATTTCGGTCTTACTATCAATTTAATATTTGTTAGTATATAATGTTATTTAATAATTTATTACCATTTAAATGATGTCTGATATTTAAAGTTGTGATATATAAGGTTAAAAAATTAAATATAAAATATAAAATATTTTTATTTGTATTCATTTTAATAATAAATAATTGATATTTATTTTATTGATAATTTTTATTTATTTATTTTTTAAAATTTTCTTATTATCAAATGTCATACTACTATTAATTAAGTACAAATTAATGTTAAAATTTAAGATTAATAAATATCAATGTGACAAAAGTCAAAATTTTATATTTTTAAAATTAAATAATTAAAAAATTTATTTTAAAATGGAGGGGTTAAAATTATAGATAAAAAAATAAAAAGATCAAAAATATAATTTAAATTATATATAATAAATATTTAATTTGTTTATTATAAAAATTAAAATATTAATTTAAAAAGGGCTGATTGGAAGGTTGTATGGTTTTATTTGAATTTTTTAAGGTTAAATCTATAGCCGTTTATAGTTTTATTAAGTTTCCAATTAAGTTTATATAGTTAAAATATTTTTAGAAAGTCTTTTTAATTTAAAAATCATTATAAAATATTTACATAATAATACTATTATAACTCTATTAATTTAAATATAAAGACTCCACCATGAGAATTAAACCGTTATCCTTGAAGTGAACCCTCACTCCATAATTGAAACACGTATATATTTAACTTAACATAATTTAAACTTTTTTAATAGATTATTTGACAATAAATATTTACATACATTTTAAATATTATATTATAAGTTAAAATTAAAGTATTATAATAATCGACTAAATAATTATCAACTTCTACGAAATTTTATAATAATAAGATTAATAAATACAATTGGTGAATTGAATTTTTTCATTATAAAAAATTTATTGAAAGTACATGTCTTTATAGATCGAATTGGATTGATTTTATGAGAAAAATTATTTGATCCAATCATTTTTTTTTTTTTAAATTTATCATTCAAAAATTTAAATTCATGACCCAATCCAATCAAAAGCAATTTGGATTGAATTGAATTTTTATTTTAATACTGTTTTTAATTTTTAGAAAAATTATTAAATAAATCATAATATATATATATATAATCTATTTATTTCATTTTGTTCTAAATGAACAAATACTGATGTTATACGAAGCTTTAATTTTAGAATAGTCATTCATTGGATGCAATTAAATTTAGTGGTCCTAATTGTAATTAATTGCGAATTAAATCGTTCCTATTAATATCATTTATTATAAAAATTAAGCCCATCCTAATTTTGATAATCACAATAATATTAAATATTATATTATTATCCTTTTTTTTTAAAGTAGTCACTTTAAAATATTTTTCACAAACAATAATAATTAAAAGTATTAATGGTTTAAAATATGTAGTTAAATTTAAAATGAATATATTTGTTTAAATATATTTTTAATTTCTATAAAATAATCAATTTTTAATTTTGTTCCTTGCAAAAAAAATTCTTTTATTTTTCATTCATTAAAATTTGAAGTAAATACTTTTGGTCTTTTAAAAATGAGCGAATAATCACTATAGTTTGCTCTTAATAATTATTTTAAAATAAATAAATAATATTTATTTTAAAAATATTCTTTTAAGAATGAGAATCATATTATAGTAAGGGTTAATAAATTTATATTTTAAGAGATTAAAGTTATATATATATATATTTTATGTAAATTAGATTGAACCAATGCCAATTATTAATGGATACTGAAATATGACAATAGCATTTGATCATATCCAACCAATTTGACATCAATTATATTCAATAAATTTAATTATATTAATGGAATATATAGTTGTTAACCTAATCAGATTTCATATTAATCATATCAATCTTATACTCACTACAAGAAAATTACATATTAGTGAGGGATTATTCCCTCGCTATTTCCTCTCTAATCATGTGCTAATCAGATTTGTGACGGAATAGTGATGAAA